TAATTAAAAACCAATACATCTACTTAAAAGCTATATATCATTTAATCACTCCATACATCTAAAATAATACACTTAAATTTTCCCTTCACTTCCTTCCCTCTCCAATCTATACTTTCAATAAAATCTTAAGTCAATCTTAATTTTTTACCTCTTTCAGAAAAAAAAAGGAAAAAACAGAAAAAGAACAAACAGTTCTTTAGGATGACTTTGAAGGGCCAGTATAGAACATAGAATAACAGAGTTGGAAGAGACCTTGGAGATCATCTAATCCAACTCCCTGCACAAGCAGGAGTCTATGCCATTTCAGACAAGTGGCTGTCCAGTCTCTTTTTGAAAGCCTCCAGTGATGGGGTGCCCACAACTTCTGAAGGCAAGGTATTCCACTGGTTAATTGTTCTCACTATTAGGAAATTTCTTCTGAATTCTGTATTGCTTCTCTCCTTGATTAGCTTTCATCCATTGGTTCTTGTCTTGCCTTCTGATGCTTAGGCAAATAGCTAGCTCCCTCATCTTTGTACAGCCCCTCAAATACTAGAACACTGCTATCTTTTTACTAGTCTAGACATACCCAATTTCTCCAATCGTTCTTCATATATCTGAGTCTCCATCCTCCTAATCATCTTTGTTGCTCTTTTCTGCACTCTTTCCAGAGTCTCAACATCTTTTTTATATTGTGGTGACCAAAACTGGATGCAGTATTCCAAGTGCGGTCATACTAAGGCTTTATAAAGTGGTACTAATACTTCATGTGGTCTTGATTCTATCTCTCTATTAATGCAGCCTAGGACTACATTGGCTTTTTTGGCTGCTGCTGCACACTGTTGGCTCATATTTAAGTGATTGTCCACTTGGACTCCAAGATTCCTCTCACAATTTGACCTAGGATTTCATTATCAAAGAAGAATCAGAGAACCAGTTAGACTCTAGAAAGAGAACAGAGAAGAGCAACAAAGATGATTAGGGGACTGGAGGCTAAAACATATAAAGAAGGTTGCTGGAATTGGCTATGTCTAGTTTAATGAAGAGAAGGACTAGGGGTAACATAATAGCAGTGTTCCAACATCTCAGGGGCTGCCACAAAGAAGAGGGAGTCAAACTATTCTCCAAAGCACCTGAAGGCAGGACAAGAAGCAATGGATGGAAACTAACCAAAGAGAGAAGCAACCTAGAACTAAGGAGAAATTTCCTGACAGTCAGAAAAAGTAATCAGTGGAACAACCTGTCTCCAGAAGTTGTGAATGCTCCAACACTGGAAGTTTTTAAGAAGAGATTGGACAGCCATTTGTCTGAAATGGTACAGGGTTTCCTGCCTGAGCAGGGAGTTGGACTAGATGACCTCCAAGGTCCCTTCCAACAAGTGAATGCTAGTATAAATTAAAAATTGTGATTCAGCCAAGCACTGTTTAATCTTTTTTTTTTTTTTTACACAGACTGTATCTGCTTAGATAAAATGTTTTAAGAAGCTGATGGTTATTGGAAAATAAGTGCTGAAATCCAATCCTGGATATTAAATAATACCATAAAGACATCTGCAATAAAGGAAAGAATAATATATTTTGAGTTTTCATCTTCATGTCCTAAAGCTGCTTGTAGGTATTTATAACAAATTGGACAATTTTGAGAAAATTGTCACCAGCATCTGTTTTCAAATGAAGTGTGCTGGAGGTCTCATGCAATGAAGGAAGCTAGCTGAGAGCCAATTGTTTCTCACTGCTGAGCTATCATGTTTGCCTTCTAATGAAAACAAGAATAATATTAAAAGTTATGATATATATGTATTTAAAAAATCAAAATCACCTAGCCTGAAAAGAAGTTTATTTAAAATGGTCCACAAATTCCATATTATTTGAGAAAAATACTTTTTTTAGGTCTATTAGTGATATTTCAGTAAACCTTTTAATCTGTATGAAGGGAAAACAGATTCAATGTATTAAGTCTATAGGCCAGTTCCTCTTCTAAAATTCTGCACTGCATAAATCCAAATGAAAACCCATGACTCTAAGGCATTCATTTCAAGCCATGGAAGAATTTTCTTAGGGCTATGAGTACATATGAATATCACTGAAAAGAGAAAGCAGAGATCTTATGTTTTTTATGCAATCATGCAGTTAGAGTTTAGAACTAATAGGCTGAAGTCCTGGATATTACAGCTCAGGCACCCTGGCATTCACATAGTGCTTTCCAGGGACCTACAAGTCTTCTTTGCGTACAATAATTCCCATTTGTCTTCTGAAATGTGGGCGATGCTATTAAAAAAGTCAAGATGATGTCAGCCCTGCCCTTTTGCTATATGCATCCTAAATGTAGCACATTTCTTTACCTCCTTTGTCTTTTCCTTTATTCCCGTACCTCCTCTGTCTCTTTCCTTATTGGATCTTTCCTTCCTTCCTTCCTTCCTTCCTTCCTTCCTTCCTTCCTTCCTTCCTTCCTTCCTTCCTTCCTTCCTTCTCACCTCCCTCCCTCCACTACTCTATACAGTCTGCAGGCAAGAGCACCACACAACACATATTGGCAGCAGTAACCACAACTGGCTATTGTCCACTTTTTGTATTCAACAAAAGACAAACAAGGAAAAAAAACCAATCTGCAAGACAGGTTGATTTCAAGAGAATCACAGCAGAAGAAGGGTTTCAACAAGGGCCACAACAATATAACTGCTATGCCACTAGCTGTGGAGATAAACAAATACCACAAAACGTTCAATTGTAAAGAGAAACATCCCATTGTATAACTTGCCCCACTGGACTGCCACCATAAGATTTGAACAGGGATTCAAACTAATTAATGTTATTAATATTAACGAATAAGAACAAGATAATATTTAAATGCAAATTTTGTTTAGTTAACTTCTCAATATTTGTATAAATTTAGTTATATCTTTTCTTCTGCTGTAATTACATTCTGGCATTTTCATTATTGTAATTAACTTCTAATCAACAAATGTTCCTGGGATTCAAGAGACTCTCAGGAACAATTCAAGTAACTGAATTTGGAAAGAAAATCATGCAAACCTTATTGGGCATTCAATAAAATCTCTGAAATGGTATTAAAAGGTATAAATGCTAGAACACAAATGAGGAGATTGCCTGTTAGACATATGCTTAAGAGGGAATTTCATTTCATTCAGTAATGTTCGACTCTCAATAGAAGTTGTTTAAGACTTAAGAAATTTAATAAATAAAATAAATAAATAAAACAAGACTTCATTGTTCCTGTTAACATGTTCAATGTATTCAGTATAATATAGGAAAAAGGAAACATGAATTTATTTTTAAACCAGTTAAATAAATATGTTTAAATCAGCTGAATTCAGAAATAATAAATACGCTCCTCATCAAAAATTGTACAAGGAATTAATGCTCTGCACAAAATTTTTAAATATAATTTTAAGAATGATTTTAAATGCAATAACTAAGTACTTAATGTGGGCAGTGCAGTGGCCTAGAGGTGGAGCTCTAGCTTTAAAATCAGGAGGCTCTGAGCAAAATCCTAGGTAGCCTCAGATATTTCTCTCTCTGGGCTCAATGAGTAATTGCCTGCTGTGAACTCCACGTAGGTATCGGGAAGGGCATCCAGCCAGTAAATGCTCAGCTCCATTCAGTCACCCTGACTCCACCCTGATGCAAGGCATTACAGGGTTGTTAAAAGAAAAAAAGAACCTAAAGACTTAATGTATGCACAGGGCAGGGCAATGGCCTAGCGCAGGGGTAGGCAACCTCGGCTCTTTTATGACTCATGGACTTCAACTCCCAGAATTCCTGAGCCAGCTATGCTGGCTCAGGAATTCTGGGAGTTGAAGTCCATGAGTCATAAAAGAGCCGAGGTTGCCTACCCCTGGCCTAGCGGTTAAGATGCTGAGCTTGTCAGCTGGAAAGCTGACAGCCCAGGTTTGAGACCCAAGTGCCAAATCACAGGGTGAGCTCCTAATATTTGCCCCAGCTGCTGCCCTTCTAGCAATTTGAAAGCATACAAATATAAGTAGATAAATAGATTCTGCTTCAGCAGGAAGGTTACTGCATCCCTTATTTTCATGCTGGCCACAAGATGATAGAAATGTCTCTCAGACAATGCAGGCTCCCTCAGCTGAGAACTGGAGATGAGCATCACACCCTTGAGTTGGTCAGGGCTGGACAGAGGAAACTTTTCAATCTATACACAATTGGATATGTTACCCTGGGACTTTTTTTTTTAAAAGAGCAGTAGTTTAGAATTGACTAAACTAGAATTGACTAGAATTGACTACCTATTATTTCTCTCATTTCTGCATGCACGCACACAAACATACACACACACAAAGCAGACAGCATGTGACAAAAGCTTAGCCAGTAGAAAGGGTGAAGATTAATTGCGTTTACACATTGCAATAGAAATTGACACTAATGCACATGTGTACATAGTGCATGTCATAGAATGTCCTTTGCATTCCTTTTTTTGCAAGCATTTAATCATCTGGAAGATTTTATGCCCATTTGCTAATTGCTATATTTATAGTTTCCGAAATTTCTATCTTTGCATTCAGAACACTTGAGACCAAAATCTGCAGACATTTACTAACACATTTTCTAAACATCTTGCTATAGGGCTTAAATTATCATTATATTTCAGAAAGTATCCAAAATTCATTAGAGAGTCTAGAGTTCACAATATTTGGGGAAATAATTCTGGGAAGCAATTGTAGAAAGAAAAGTCTTTTGTTAACACCAATTACCCTTACGTTATTGCTTTGCTGGCAATGGCAAGAACTCAATATCTCCAAGGTTAAATTGCACACTGGATACTTATATAGCATTCTGAACATCAGTCTAAGCTAATGGCATGTGTTCCTTTCCTGAGAAGTTTATAGTCTAAGTGCAGTGCAGTTGTAGGAAAGAGAGATGGGAGGCAAAAGCAAATGCAGCTGCCAACATTCACATTTCATTTTTAGTAGCAAAATGTTTTAAGAGCCACCCTTAAGGAAGAGAGAAAACAGATCTGATATTATTGTAACAAGATGGCCACTCAGATCACTGATCAATTGTTGGTTGATCAACTGATTATTGTTTTGTTAATTTGGCCTGGAAAAATAGAGTTTGAAGAAATTTTATAAATGAAATATTTTTTATCAGTGCAATCAGAGCAAACCATATCTGTTTCCACTATCCTCCTCTATATTTTCAAATCACTAACATATAAAAGAAGGTAAGAATTCACAGAGTCTTCCTTATTTATATATAACTTAGTGTTGCTGGCCTATGTGATATCAAAAATTTTTGAAGTTATTGCCACTTACGATTTTGAGCAAATCATACTTAAACTGAAAATTCTAAGGTGAAAGAAATATATTTTTCCTATTAATTGATATAAGATATACAGACTACCTTTCAGATCTTCCAGTAAATGGGTTCCCCTATTATTTTCAAGTTTGAAGTCCTATGTTGATTCATTTATAGTGCTGCTAATGAAAATATGTTGTTGAAAAGCATTGTGAACACTCTCTCATTTAGCTAAACTTCTCTTTGTAACTACCCATTCGGATATCTTTTTCTGTATCTTGGATTTATAAATGCATATTCTTTGACATGAAGGCTTCAAACACAGGAAAATCAACAAATCAATATGTAAGGGGTCTAAAATTGCCCTCTCCCTATCATGAGGTTTCCACTTATTACTATTTAAAGTGAATGTGTAAACTCATCCAACACGTTTTCCTAAAGCTCTGAATCTATATCTTCTCATACCTCTATCAATCCTATTTAATATAGAGTTATGTCTGAGATGGCAATCCTAAACATGCTGCTAAGACAGTAGAAAACATTACAAGACAGAAGGATGAAAAATAGCACCCTTTTCATTCAACACTCTCCAACATTCTTTCTGACCTTTTGGGGGGGTGCGGGGTGGGGGGCACTATGCTAGCAATACTGGACATATGTGTGACCCAAATAAATTCATTTAAACCTAAAGGGAAAGCATGATTGATTAGTTAAGAGAAAAAACATTCCACTTGAAAAGTTCGTTGAGACAAGAAATTCTCAGCTGTGTGAGCCAACATATGTTTTAAATATTTGCAAGAGATTACCACTATAAATTAACACCGAAAGCTGATGTTCCTAATTCTGATATAGTCCCGACCCAATCTGAGAAACAGATCATTTGCCTGCTTGTTTATACAAGTGACATTCCAGACAGCAATAGCAGTTCCAACTTCGTATTTGGAAAGCAATCAAATTGTCCTGCTCATGAATCAACAAACCCCAGCAGGTGGCAATAGAGACACTTCTGCTTTCCCAAATTTTGAACCTCTGTTGTATTGACTTAGGTGTGTGCTATTCTTTCTAGTGCTTTATAGCTTATTATAAAAAAAATAAAATAAAATGTCCAGGCTTTTGTTCAATAAAATAAGAAGACTAGGTGTGATTTCTTAAAATTCTTTCTATTATTTGATATATATTGTCAAATAAATTGGAAAAATTAAATCATGAAGATGAAACTGAAAAAAGCAAGGATGTGTTGATTAATGAACATTTTCTGTGTTAATAAATTTATCCAGCTTATTATAAAAATAAATTTGTGAAATACTAGCAGCATATACCCAGAAAATGAAATTCAAAAATCTTAATAATCTAAAAATATGGTTTTATTATTACTTTTGCCAGCAGTCTACAGGAATAGAATTCCTTTCCCCCAACACTTTTGGAATATAGTCTTTCCCTCTGTATTTATTCAAGTAATTTAATACCATAGAAATAATGAGATTAATATATGAAGTTATCTTGTCTTAGCTCTTTTTCATTATGCTACTAGAACTGTTATTATCCAAGACAACCACAATAAAAAAGACAATCTGCCTCCAGAAGTTATGAATGCTCCAACACTGGAAGGTTTTAAAAAGAGACTGGAAAACCATTTGTCTGAAATGGTATAGGGTTTCCTGCCTGAGCAGGGACTGGAAGACCTCAAAAATCCCTTCATACTCTATTATTGTTATTGTTAAAAAGCAGTAATTGTAAATAAGTAGTTATTTTCTTGGTGTTCTTTTTTTCTCTCTTTTCCTTGACCATCATATCTCCTCAATTTTCTATTATCAGTGGTCCTAGAAGGAAGATACAATAACATAACATTTTGGAACGAAAATGACCATATATATTTCCAAGAAACTGGACCTTTACCCATGTACTTCTGGGTTTTCCTTTTCTATAAGATTCCATTGTCTGGGTCTATTACTTATTTTATATCTAATGCACTTGATAGAAAAGAGAATTATTCTTGCATCAAGCCATTAAGCAGTTTCTGGGATCACTAGGAAATAGGCAAAATTTCCTAGTGATCCAAATCTGTTAAATCTGTTCCTTTTTGGCCTGGAAGTAATTGTTAGCAGATA